CACTACCTGAGAAAGGGTCGAGAGCTCTAAGTCGCACTCAAAAAGGGAGATAGGGTTAGAAAACACCCTACCTAAGAGGTGAGGGCTCAAAGGCACACTCAAAAGAAAGTATGGTTGTAAGGTGCACTGGGTGGAATGTTCGATGGCTCAAGGGTGCACTCAAAGAGAATGAAGATAGGGCTAGAAAGCACACTATCTAAATGATGAGGACTCAACAGCCCGCTAAAAAAGAGGTGATGGTGAGCCACTGATCTATCAAGGATGAAAGCAATGCATCATGGTCAATATGCATGTATACTTGAGAAATATAGGTCTCCTTTTCTTCATGAAGTTCTCCTTTTCTCAAAAGTTTGAGTCTCTGATAGTGACACGACTAAAAGATAGATGTCTTCTCCCAAGTGCAGGAGTGTCGAAGTAATAAATAACCCGGCAAGATCGGGGTCGAACCGTAGGGAGGTTAATTGTACAAATAATAGATAACAATAAAACAACAACAACAACAACAACAACAACAATAGTAATAATAATAATAATAATAATAATAATAATAATAATACTAGTAGTAGTAGTAGTAGTAGTAATATTAATAGTAATAATAATAATAGTAACAATAATTATAATTATAATAATAATAATAATAATAATAATAATAATAATAATATAGAGAAGAAGAAGAAGAAGAAGTTGATGAGAACTTTTAGATGGAAGATTAATATAAAGATTAAACAATAATAATAACAAATGTCAAGGTTAGAGGTTTCACCAATGGTATGTCAAAAAAGTATAGTATAAACTCTTATTATTCAATTGAAAACCACACACAAATGAGGTTCCAATCAGATTATAGATTATTAACATGATTACATTAGTCATCTTATTCAATTAATGCTAATACTTGTAAATCTCGTCAAGCATTCATGATTATAACTTATGTTAACAACAAATCAAGTTCCTTTCATAGCTCAGGTGTCGATTATACCATACAGTATAGGCTATGAAAGTGTCAAGCATTTGTTGTACCAAGTATTATACAATTGCCAAGCATTTGTTGTACCAAGTGTTATACAACATAAATCAAGATTAGTCATTTAACAAGCAAAGTATTAAAGAGTGAACAAGATAACAAATACAAAACATGTTAGTATCAAACATTAAAGTCCATATTAAGTTTACACTATACTTATTCTTACACCATTAGTGTAACCTTTTCACCTTGACATAATAAACTTAGCTAGACATAATAAAAGAAAGAAAAATAAATAAACAAAATAAGAACATAAATTAGATAAAAGTTAACTAAGTAAATGAAAGGAAATGAAAGGCATAAACTTGATATTAATGAAAGCAAAGCATAAACATTACAAAAAATACAAAGAGAGAAAGGAAGAGCATGATCTTGATCTGGAAACCAATATGCCTAAATACATGGCAAATGACTCCTTTTATAGGCCAAAATTGGAAACTATTGATTTGATGACTTATTAATGAGTGGGTGGCCAACTCTTGATTTGGTGACAATCCTTATCTTCTCTTGTCTGCCCAAAACATCATTGATAACGTCAAAATTGGAACCACTTGCAACATGAATGTTGTAAGAAATTGTCTCATCTTTCTTGTGTAAACAATTCAGCTCATTTGGACTTCTAGAACTCCAGATATGGATCAAACAATAAACAATGCTTGGGCTGGAAGACAGATTCAGACTTCTTTGTTGTTGCTCCAATTTGGACTTGAAAATGGCCTTTTTAGATCTTGGGCTCCATATGAAAGTTGTAGGCCTATCTCTTACCTTTCCATCCATATAAAGTGGACCTAAATCTGAATCTACAACTTTAGATACAATCCAATTACCGAATAGTGTTCCGGTATAGACTGCACCGGCATCTCCTTTCGAAGTTTAGCCATCTCTTTGTCCTTTCAATTTCAGTTCTTAAATTCACCAATCAATCCTTTCATTTATATGATAGGCCTGCATTAAAAATAAACATTTACCATAAATTATAGGTATCTTATATTATTAGATACATTATTACAAAACATGTTTTAGTTAAGGAGTTATTGATACTTCAAGTGCAAAATGATGATATAAAACCTTGATAAAAATGCACTTTTAAGTACTAATCAGATGGTAAGCTTCAATGACTCTTTTCACTCTTACTTACTCGAGTCATATCTTGTGATCTTGAACCCTAGGAAAGACTTGATAGCATCATACTTCTTTGTCCTCTGCCCTTTATCTCAATGATTGCCAAGTTTGCTCGACATTCTTCTTAGAAAGGGGAATCATGGAGCCAGCCCTACTAGGAGTTTTTGATTGCCCCCAAGCTTGATCATGCCCCCAAGTGTTTAATTTGGGTTTAGGGATGAGGCTATAGGAAGGAAGGTTTGACAGAGAGTTGTTTTCATGCAGAAATTTTGGAATTTCAAAGCTATTCCAAACACAAAAGTCATTTTGACATCGATTCAAAACAAACTCATTCTGAAGAAATTCAAGTGATTCCTATGGAGAGGTTTTCAGAAGTGATGAAAAATTTTTTATTTTGGTTTTGGTTAAAATATGAATAACACGAAGTGACATCTGATTGATCATAAAAGGTTTAAATTTCAATTTGAGGGAAAAGATTTATTTGCATGAATAATGATTTTGTTTCACATGAGAAAGCACTACCTACTCATCCAGATTGCTTGCCTTTGATTAGAAAGGGCTTGATTAGGCATGTAATGTAGGCTTGGGCTATTGGATATGAAGAAAAGGATATTTGTAGGCTCAAAAGGTGTTTAAGGGACTTTAAGACTAAGGATCACTAATGCTTATATCCCAAACTTTTTTGTTCATACATTTCTGGACCTTGGAATTGATTTGTGAAGTGGTCCATGTTGCCCCCCAGTGTTGGGCTTGGGATCTTTCTCTTTATTTTATTTTTCTTCATTTGGTCGCGCATCACTACATTGGCCCTTTTTTATGCTAAAATTTTTTAGATCCTTTGGATTTTTCTTCCTTTTTTTTTTATGGCCCCCAGCTTTGTATGGGCACCTTCGAGGATTAAGAATTTTCTTTTATGCCCCCCAGTATTGTTTGGGCACTTTCAATCATTAAGGATTTTTTGGCATTTGCCCCCCTAGTGTGGGGTGTGATCCTAGTCAAGGTTATTTCAATAAAAATGCATTTGGCTCAAAATGGGACTTCAAAGAATATATTTCAGCCTTGTGAAAAGATTATCAAAGATGGTATTTCTTCATCTCAAATGCATGCATTTAGGATCCGTAAACCTTACTTTCATGCGAGTATGCAAAGTGATTTCTCATTATTCATTCAAATAAAACTCCGCTTTTGGAGTCACTTCATTGTTTTTTTTTTTTTTTTGGTGTATGGTTACCTCTCTAAGGAATCTCTTGAATTTCCAGAACTCGTTTGTTTCGAACAAACACCAATATAATTTCTGTTTTTGTACTAAACTTTGATTTCCCAAAAATCCTTGTGAAAACATGCATGGAAGAAAGGGGAAACACGCCCAAAGATTCTTAGCGCAATGGTCTCATGTTCAGAGGTTATGTTCAACATGTTATTTGCATGAAACAACAAAAAATGAAGGTATGTCATGAATTCAAGAAAACACATGATCTTATTAACAAGTAAGGCTTAGTGGACAGGGAAAGTCTTGTGGAATTTTGCGCCAAATTACCGATAAAAACTAGAATTGGGTGAAAAAATCAAGAAGTTTTTGCAGGCATGATCGAACAGAGGTAGTTATTTTTTGGGCAGAACAAGAACAGGCTCCATTCTGCAATGGTGATGCAATTCCCCTTTGGTCAGCTTTCCCACAAAAGCTTGTATGGAAATGTTGTACTATGCTGAGGCTCTTGACCGTGTTTGCCCCCAACTTCTTCAGGCTGAGGTGTTATTGGGGTTTGAACAAAGATGATAGATCAGTTGGAAGGAACCTCCATAGAGTTATTTCTCAATATTTGCTTGACTAAGCTAGAGGCGAGTCAACTTTTGTCCAGACACTCCAACTCTTTTTGAAAATGGGTGCTGCGGCGAGCGCGCTCTTTGTCTCCAATGTTTTTTCCCGCTCAAAATTAGGTGTTGTAGACTCGTAGGGAACCCACTTTTCATTCTGGTGCATGCATGACAAATGTATGAAAATGACATATATATGATGAACTCACCCTTCGAGGGGTGACATATGATCGTAACTTTTGTACGATGAAACAAGAATCTTGATTCTTGCCCAAACTCTACAATGAAAATTTTTGAAGTGACGGTCATTCTGTCACCTATAAATCTTGAGTTCAAGATGCTTTAAGAAGGTTTTGCCCCAATGCAAATAAATGATAGCACATACAACCTAAGGACAGGTATTATTTATTATGTGAACATGAGTAGGTTTTCTACCTGGTTTCAAAAGGGTCTATGAACTGCCTAGTGACCACATCGCGTGAAGGCAGTATAGGGGTTTACAAGGAATGGTTAGGGCACCGTATGACCGCCATTATCAAGAAAACACTCAAGTCATAGTTGGATGTTTCGCAAATCTGAAACCCGACTGAAAGTCATGAGGCAGACCGCTACTCCCCACCTAACTTAGAAGCTTGTGTGTGATTTCAAAAATAGATGCAAGTGATGCATGAAACAATTCTAAAAATGTATGGATAAAACAATAAAATAAGACAAAAATGCCAAAACTTAAACACATCAAATACACAAAGCTTAATCCAATATTGTTAGAAACAGTACCTCCCTAGTGTTGTCGCCATTCTGTCACACGTCGGAAAATCTGCGCGACATCAGCTCTGCCTGACGATTTTTCTCTTCTTATGTTTGTTTGATTTGATCTTGTTGGATTAATTGGGAGTCACCACCTAGTATTTAATTGAGGAATACTAGGAAACCCGGTTGTACTAGTCTTATCAGAAATTCGCGGGTAAGAGACTGGTTGTCGTTAGGGAAGGTATTAGCACCCCTAACGCACCCTACCTGAGGTAAGCTGCATCGTGGCTGTGATGTGTTAAAGAAGTTTTAAAATTTTTACCTTTTCATTGAATTTTAGAAATACAAATTCCGTACAAATTTGTACTTCTACACCGTGATCCAATTAAAATATTAAATCCTTCTTTATTCTTTGTAGTCTAATCATAAAAAAAATTCATAAAACAAATACACACACATTTTTTATTATATTTTTTTCTTTTTTTTCTTTTCTTTTCTTTTTAGATCCACATTACAAATTATAAAAATTCAAAACTAAATAAAAATTACATTAAATAATTTAAAATTTACAAAACAGTCCCTAAAACTCTAGAAATTGCATTGAAATCCCTTCTAGAACTGCCTAAACTCGTGGCGGCGCTTCCTTCCATGCACCACCGTCACTGGTGGCCCATGGGTTCACACGCCACCGCAATAATGCCAAAAAATGTGGGTCCGACTCAGCTTCTTCTCCTTTTCTCTTCTCTGCCGATGGTGACACCCACCGTCACCTACAAGAGAGCAAAAACCCAACAAACAGTCAGTTTCAATCCATTTCAGTCTAGATCTGCTTCTCTCCCTTCTCATTTCAGGCAGCGGAAAGACCAAGAGGTCACCAGCGACTAGGCTTCTGTTGATGGCCGATCTAGCAGTGGTGGTCTTTTGTGGCCGCTGTTGGGTTGTTGATGGCGGGTGGATCTGCGACCGACCAGTTGAAAGAGATGACTGGTCTTGGCCGGCAGAGGAAAAGGGAAGAGACCGGCTGGCTGAGGAGAGATGGGGCTGCTATGCTGTCAACTGAAAATGAGAGGAAATGGGGGAAGATTGGCTGCGGGTTGAAAAGAAAATGGAGTGGCGTTGGGCAGAGGGAGCTGATGGCCAGTTGAACGCGGTGCCGATACGTTCAGAGGTGAGAAGAGAGGCTAGGAGATGGAGGCAGGTTTAGGAGCTGCGAAAAGTAGAGGGAGCGGCCAAGGAGAAAGTGTGTGGCGACTGTGGGGAGAAAAAATTGAAAACCGAAGGGGGGCAGCCGGTTCTACAAAGGCTGAGGCTCAGCCCTTGGCTGGCGAGAAGAAGGAAAAATCTGATGAGGGGGGGTGGTCAACGCCTCTTGTTTTTTTTCAAGAAAGATAGTTTAGGTTTAGGTTATTCCCTTTTGTGTTGTCCCTTAAAAATTGTAAAAATACCCTTTTTTCTTGTAAAATTGCCCCCCTTTGTGCACGTTGAAAGCTGCTATTTATAGGTAAAATGTTGCTTGGGTTTCAAAATTGGTCCCTAAACTTCTTTTTTTTTTTTGTAAATTTTGATTTTTCTTATTTTTTTGAGTTTTTTTTTTAAATGAGCAATATCAACATCGGCTCAATGAGGAAAAATTGATGATTTTAAAAATAACGCGTTAAAAGTTGAACGCGTTCCAAATATCTTTGAAAATTTAAATTCTTTTGAGATGATGCTGAAAATGCTAAAAACGAGGCAAATATATTTAAAAATGTATTTTTTGGATTTTTGTTGTTTTTCTCTATTTTTTTATTTTTCTAAAAATTTATCAAAACACGGGTCAAAAATTGGGGAATAACCTAGAATTGGGTTATGATAGTTAACATGATTACATTAGTTATCTTATTCGAATAATGCTAATACTTGTAAATATTATTAGGCATTCATGCTTATAACTTATGTTAACAACAAATCAAGTTCCTTTTATAGCTTAGGTGTCGGTTATACCATACAGTATGAGCTATGAAAGTGCGAAGCATTTGTTGTACCAAGTGTTATACAACATAAATCTAGATTAGTCAGTTAACAAGCAAAGTATTATAGAGCAAACAAGATAATAAATATAAAACATATTAGTATAAAACATTAAAGTCCATATTAAGTTTACACTATACTTATTCTTACACCATTAGTGCAACATTTTCACCTTGACATAATAAACTTAACTAAACATAATGAAAATAAAAAAAAATAAACAAAATAAGAATATAAATAAGATAAAAGTTAACTAAGTGAAGGAAAGGAAATGAAAGGCATAAACAAGATATTAATGAAAATAAAACTTAAGCATTACAAAAATACAAAGAGCAAAAATAAAAACATGATCTTGATCTGGAGACCAAGATGTCTAAATACATGGCAAATGCCTCCTTTTATAGGCTAAAATTGGGAACTATTGATTTGATGACTAATTGATGAGTGGGTGGCAAACTCTTGACTTGATGATAATCCTTATCTTCTCTTGTTTGCCCAAAACGTCATTGATAACGTCAAAATTGGAACCACTTAGAACATGAAAGATGTAGGAAATGGTCTCTACTTTCTTGTGTAAAAACGTTAGGTCATTTGGACTTCTAGAACTCTAAATATGGGCTAAACACTGAACAATGCTCGGGCTAAAGGACAGATTCAGACTTCTTTGTTGTTGCTATAATTTGGACTTGAAAATGGCTTGTTTAAGTCTTGGGTTCCATATAAAAGTTGTAGGCCTATGTCTTACCTTTTTATCCATATAAAGTAGACTTAAATCTGAGATCTACAGCTCCAGATATGACCCAATTACCGAACAATGTTTTGGTTTGGACTGCATCGGTATCTCTTTTTAAAGATTAACCACCTCTTTGTCCTTTTAATTTCAGTTCTTAAATTCATCAATCAATCCTTTCATTTATGTTATAGGCCTGCATTTAAAATGAACATTTACCACAAATTAAAGGTAACTTATATTATTAGATATATTATTATAAAACATGTTTTAGTTAAGGAGTTATTGATACTTCAAGTGCAAAAAAGATGACATAAAAACTTGATAAAAATACACTTTTAACACTTCAAGTGCAAAATGATGATATAAAACCTTGATAAAAATGCACTTTTAAGTACTAATCACACCCCCCAACCAGCTTATTACTAGTCCCTAGTAATCAAAGCATTAAAATAGAAAAATACTTTTCAAATTCCACAAAGCAAGGTATTCATCATTCAACTTCCATTAATCTATCTAGATAAACAAACTCTCATTAAATTTATATATCTGCTCAATACCTCTTAACAAGATATTAATAAACCTTTCTTATGTACTCAATGTATCAATACATAATTATGGGCTTTTCTTAGAAGAAAACAAAATTTTTGTTCTAATGTTTAAGGTTCACTTCCTTAGGTTGAGATTTTTTTTTTTTAATATATATACATATAACTTAAGACACCATGCATCTTTAACCCATGTAACAAGCTTTCGGCTAATGACTTCTAGACCAATTGGTCTTATGGCATTAGGTGTTGAGATACCCCTACGAGCTTAGTAACTCGAGTCACAGATATTGATACGTAGATAGTGCAATGTTTGATTCCCTTAAGCTTTTCTCCTCAACCCATGTAACAAGCGTTGGGCTAATAACTCCCAAGTCAGTTGACTTTAGGGTATTAGGTGTTAAAACACCCTTTCAGACCAATGGCTCCCAAAGAGATTTGGGGTAGATGGTAAGACCAAGCCTGTAAGCACACCTCAATGTCTCCACACACAGAGAAAGAGCATAAGCATATGATTCAAATTCCGTATGCAAATGCAGTTGGTGCATTAATGTATGCAATGGTTTATACGAGACCAAATATTTCACATACTGTTAGTATGGTGAGTAGGTATATGCATGATCCTGCAAAGGGTCACTAGCAGGCAGTTAAGTGGATTCTATAATACATTCATAGCACAATTGATATTGATTTGAAGTTTGAGACGGATGATAGACTAAGACAATTTATTTACTTATGTGGATTCGGACTATGCTGGTGACTTAGACAAGCGTCGTTCCACAACAGGCTATGTGTTTACACTTGCTAAAGGGCTCATAAGTTGGAGGTCAACGTTACAATCAATAGTAGATTTGTCAACAACTAAGGTAGAGTACGTGGTAGTAATGGAAGCTTTCAAGGAAGCTATTTGGTTACATGGGTTGATTGAAGATTTGGGAATTGTTCAAGAGCACGTGGATGTCCATTGTGATAGTCAAAGAGCTATTTGTCTTGCAAAGAATCAGGTTCAACATTCCCACACCAAGCACATTGATATTCGATTTCATTTTATTCGAGAAATTATGAATGAAAGGGATATTCTGCAACAGAAGATTGGTACAACAGATAATCCAGCTGACATACTCATAAAATATATCTCAAGGATCAAGTTCCAACATTGTTTGGACTTGGTCAACATCTCTCGGTATTGAGCACCTTCAGGGTGCAGCGCCATATGGCGCATTAGAGGCAGCATTAATTGATCACGAGGATTGGATGGAAAAATCTTCTCAACTTTTTTCCAACCACCATGACTTTTTTGTTGTAGCAGTTAATTGTTGGTTGACATTTATTAGGTTGCACATGGTTGCTACCAAGGCTTTCATTTCTCTTATAAATGGAGATAGAGACGAGAGAGTGAAATAGATAAAGAGTGCAAGTGTAGAGGAAAATAATGCAACTATAAGAGTGAGTGCAAGTATAGATTTGAGAGAAACATCGAGTGTAAGAGTGAAATACTAGGTTTTGTGAGGTTGTATTGGGTTGAGTTGAGTGTTTGTATCATTACTCCAACAATATACAATCTGCTGTCTCCGTGGATGTATCCAGTTTTGGAAAACCACATAAATTTGCTTGTTTGTATTTTATTTGTGTTTGTTTTTGGTCTAGTATGCACGACAAATAGATCATGCACCACTGCAAAGTTTAAATCTTTTCAATGAAATTCAAACTCAACTATCAAATTCGATGCATACCAAAATACACACTAGATCCAATAGTAGATATAATATCCACGAGTCATTGCTCGTTTTATTACAATACATTCGATAACATTCATAGAGAATTCCACCATGAGCTCAAAGTACGAATTCTACACCATTATTCATACAGAGGCACTTGCTCAATATATAATAAAGTGACATAATCTTTTAAACTTGATGGAATTGTGTAGGCATCGTCATCATTCCCATAAATAACATCTGTTACTCGAATAAGATTAACAAAATGTTGAAGGAGAAGCATTGGAGCATTAGTTGGCCTCATGCAATCTTCATTGATATCCTTCCACGCATTAACGTCCATCTTTTCTATCTCTTCAATTGCTTTCTTCTCCGATGCATCATATTGTTTCATATAGCATTCAACACCGGATGCGCAGTCTCCTCTCTTTTGTTCATCCTTCAAATATATAAACGATGTTATAGTTTTTAGAAAATAAACTTAACATGAAAAATTTCTGAACACAAAAATATTGAGAAGAAAGAAAGTCATGAGTTGAACAATTTTTTTGATGCACGAAATAATTGAAAAATCTTGTAAGTTATTAACTATATCATAAGTTGAACTAATACTTTTTCACTGAAAAGATAAAATTTGAAAATAATTTTAACAATTGGTTCCTTGCTTATATAAGATATGAGAATACAATTCTCGATGTATCTAGTAATTTTTTATTTTAAGAATTCGGACACCGTACCTCGTGGCCCACAATGTCATTCATCAAACGACCAATCATCTTTCCGGCTTTAATAATTTTTGGATTACATTTTAGCCATTCATACTCCTCCCCTCCTGCAACTTCTTCCATTCCAAGGAAGGATGCTGCCATGATTACCCCATAAGCACTTGTGGCTAATCCATTGCGCACATACTCATCGAATGTTGGGACATGGCATTTATCTGCCCACTCCGCCTCCGCATGGTAGCCTCTCACCAATTCTTTGAACTAATAGCATACAAATAAAACAAAGATTGTGTGGTAAAACCGATGAAATAATTAAATTAATATATATACAATAACAATATATTATGCTAGAAATAGTAAAAGAAAGCATGAGACTGGAAAAATATTCATACTGCCTCCTTCACATAATTTGAGGCATAGGATCTTCCTTGCTTTCCCATGTCATTCTCAGTTTCGTTGAAAAGATTCAGAAGTGCTTTGTAAAGAACTTTCATGTAATCGGCAGGTAGTTGATCAATAGCATTCATGCTGCATCTGAAATTGAGACAGAAAATTCCATTCCTTTCCTGAACATCTTTGTGTCGACTTCTTTGTTTATGAAAGATTTAGAAGAGAAAGACAGACTATGAGGTAACAAGAAACAAACCTTTCAATTGCATTAGTAAAACGTTGTATTTCTTCAAAAGATGCATATGCATCATATGTATCATCTACCAGTGATACAATTTTTGTATATTTCGTGGCCATCATCCGAGAGAAAGCATATTGAGGCTCGAAATGGATTCCATTTGCCCAGAAATAGATCTCTACAATTCTATCTCTTGCATAAGGAAACTCCTCAGCAAAATTTAAATCATTCCACCACCTAAAATGTAAATAGCAACCGAGTAAATAAATTCCAATAGAAACTTAGTCTGATGTCTCTCTCGAACTCGAATACAAAATTACCTCGAGAGAATGGATAGCTCTTGTTGATGCAGTAGCTGAACTCGATTGAAATCTATCTTGGCAAACTTGAGTAGAGTGTCATTCCGAGACTCCTCCTCTTCGTAGAAAGAGATGTATTTTCTAGCCTCTATTCTTGGTACGCCTTTGTGAAAGGGCCGGATCAAAGCATTCCTAATATGGTCTGCTAGACGTGGGCTTGATTGCATAGCCGAAGACTCCAGGTTTGCCTTTGTGTAAACAAGGGCTTCATCCAGTACCTGTTCTCCATGCACACCTAAAAATGAAGCTTCGTACAAGCCCAGGATGCTTTTAACATCGTTGATGATTGTTTTCTTAAACTCTCCATTGGTGTCCTTGAACTTGTCGAACACAACTGATGATTCAAAAAAAAAAACACAACACAAATTTTAGCCAACTTTCAAAAGATGTTTGTGGATTATGAAAGAATATTTACTTAGTTTCACGGAAGTTTTGCTAGTCACAATAACTTTACTGTTCTAGTCTTTTTTTTAATAATCTTAATTTGACCATATATTACTTCTTGTGAAAGAAAGATTTAGCAGAGTTTAAAGTACTGTTCAAGAAATAATTTTTGAGATGTTAATTAATGTTTGAAAGGCTATAAAGTGGAAGTATGCGCTCACCGCAAGGTATTTTGAATCCATGCTGTCTTAATACTCGAAATAGAAGTGACACAGTGTAGAGATCAAAGTCATGTTTCTCAAGAAGATCAGGAAGGTCATCAAAAATTTGTTTGAGGCTGTTTTCAATCTCGTCGTCAAAATGATATGACACACCAAGCCGACATAACAGATTAATGAATTCAATATGTTCCGCTGGATCCTTTGTGGATGCCATCAGCATGTCCTTCACATTTTCCTTCAACACTTCTACTTTTCGGTTGTATGACTCGAATTCCTGCATTGAAATATTCAGTAAGAATCAACTGTCATATTAATTAGATTTTAAAACGATTACTTCATATAAAAAAAGAGTTAGTTATAACTTAATCTCTAGTTTATCTGAACTAATTAAACAATTATTAAAGTTTTGGAAACTATATGAAAAAAAAAAAATTTACTCTATCAAAAGATGAATTCTTTGTTTAAAATAAAAGCAATCAACGGCTAGACAAAAGTGTAACTACTTTAACATCAACTTTGGCCTGAGAGGGGTGGAGACATAGGATATATATGATTTTATATCATTAAAAAACACACAGACAGGTAATATATAATTAAAAAATTTAAAAACAAATTATGAAACATCAGATTCTAATCTTAGGGCAGAATTGGATGATAGATCCCACAAATCTAATGGCTCTAATAGCTTGTATATAGTTTTGAAACTTAAATTTTCTTAATACTGCTATACATATATAGAAGAGAAGTAATTTACCGTTTGTGGGAAGGAAAATGAAGCGAAGCTACAACCCCACAAGCTTGGTGGGAAATTTGCCTCTGGACGAGAATTGTTTTGACGATTATTGCTTGCTGTTAAATGTGCTTGGGTTTCCATTTTTTTTAAGATGAACTAGAGGCCAGTTCTTTAATGGCTGGTTGAGTATCTAAATCATCAAAGGAAGGCTATTTATAATAAAATATCTAGACGTTACATAAGAAAAATGATTTTGGTATTGAAGCATAAGAAAAAGGGTTCAATTTTGTCTTCACAAGTTAAGTTATGGTTCAATTTTGTTTTCAATCATGAAATGGCTTCAAATGATTTGAGACAGGTTAGCCTCAAAATAGACTTGATTGCATAGTAGCAAGATAATCTGGGTTGCGTGAAAACATATCATTTCTATACAGAAATTATAAAAATACAGAAATTCATTTTAAAATGGTATCCGAAACACATTCATTACTAACTCTTTATTTTCATCTCTATAACCAAATATATTTATGTATTTATTATTTTCATCTCTTTTATTTTATAACAATAACCACATACCATTTTTTTTTCATATTAGTAGATCCATATAAAGGTGGCCGGTCTTGAAATATAACATAATAGGGACTGCAAATAAATAAAAGTGAGTATAAAAATTATTGTTTATATTAAATGATTTCTGAACTTTTTTCTAGTAAATTGTGTTTTTGGATTTATATTTTTTTTTCCAAAATATTAGTATTGAGAAAGGATATGTATAAAAAAAATGAAATTGTTTGGAGAATTTACTTTGATTGTGTGAGTTTGTAATATGAAAATTCAATATCATGAAAATATTATTTGTTCTCAAACTAGTTAATATTGAATTTAAAGCAAATATATATTTACAACTAATATATAAACTAATATATAGAGACATCAAAATTCTTTTGTTTTATTAGATGGTAAAAAAAAAATACTGTTCTAAAAATAATATAAGAATTTGTTTAGTTTTTCTTTATAAAATAAAAAAAAATCAAATAGTTAAAGACCTGTGTATTTATAGTATTGAGTAGTTGAGAATAACTTAATGATTTATATTGACCTTGACCAACCGTTTCTATTTATACATATATATATATATATATATATGGTAGAACATGTTAATAATTATAGGGATTATAACATTAAAATAAAGTGAAGCTTGGTGGGAAATTTGCCCTTCGACGATAATTGTTTTGTTGATTGGTGATTGCTGTTAAATGTGCTTGGGTTTCCATTTTCTTCATCATCAAAGGAAGGCTATTTATAGGGAAATAGCATGACGTTTTGTACCATACCTTTTCTTATTGCATTCCTTAATTAAAGGTGTTTTTAAATTAGCGATGTTTATTTTTTAAAATATTTTTTTAAAGAAATATATATTTAAATGATATTTTTTATTTTATAAAATTTATTTTTGATATTAACATGTTAAAATAATTTATAAATATAAAAAAATAAATATAAAAAAAATAAATTTTAATAAAAAATGTTCAACTTCAATTCCAAATACCAATTACAAGTAAAACATTTGAGTCAGCACTTGAACTTTTTAAATGTGTTTTAAAAGAAAAATAATAAATCATTAGATGTAAATATTAAAAAAAAAAAGTGCAAGAGAGAGGGGGAGAGAGAAGAGGGAATAAGTTTGGAAACAAAAATAGGTAAGTAAAATCACTTCCCATTTCCACTCGTCAAAACAAAACTATGTTATAAATATTGTTTATGTGTGATTGAAAGAATAATAAATCATTACAAGTACGAAAATATTAAAAATAAAACACCAAAAAGAGACGGAGAGAGAAGAGAATACATATGAAAGAGAGTAGAACTACAGTCAATTTCCTATATTACCCAACCAACTCTGTTTCAATATTACAAAAGATAAAAGACTTGTATTCGTTTCAAAACTTCAAAACTCTTAATACAGTATTTGACATAAATCCATCTTATTTTTTGTGGTGTATTGAAAATAAAAGAGAATAGAAAAAGGTAATAAAATTTTTGGAGGCTTAGAAATAGGTATAAATGAATAAAGAGTATTATTATAAATAAAAAACAAAGAAAGCAAAAAAGAGGGTACAAAGTAGGGGTGAGCATTTTCGGTTCGGTTCGGTTTTTATCTAAAAAACTAACCAAAATCAAATTTTAAAAAATTTAAAAGTTCAAACCGGAACCCAACCGGAATCGGTTCAAACCGACCGGTTTCGGTTCGGTT